GAGCAGAGCCGCAGGCTGGTTGCGAGGGCGTGGGAGCGTGTGTGTGTGTGTGTGTGTGTGTGTGTGTGTGTGTGTGTGTGTGCGTGCCTCTGTACATCTTGCACGGTTCCTCCGTCTGTATGTGTTTCTGTGGAGTTTCTGTGTGCAGCCAGGTGTCAGTGTGTGTTAAGTGCTTGTTCAAGTGTGTGCGTCAGTGTTAGTCTATACTCTTGCGCAGGGGAGCAATTTGCTGTTTAGGTGGCTGGTGGTTTTGCAATATTGATGTGATCCTGGAGAGAGAGGCTTGGGGGGGCGACAGGGGTCCAGAGGCAGGTCTCAGTGTGTCTTCGGGGGGGTGGGTCGATAGCCCAGGAATAATTGTGGGGAGATATTGGTGTGAATTGTAGAGAGAACCGAGGTCAGGGCAAGAAGAGTGTTATCATTCACACGGTAAACACATTCTACCCACAGGACACACACAGATACACTCACACACACAGATACACTCACAGACACTCTCACACACACAGATACACTCACAGACACAGATACACTCACACACAGAGATACACTCACACACACAGTCTCACACACACAGATACCCTTACACACACAGATACACTCACACACACACTCTCACACACACAGATACCCTCACACACACACACTCTCACACGCACAGGTACCCTCACACACAGAGATACACTCACACATACAGAAACCCTCACACACAGATACATACACAGATACCCTCACATAGAGATACACACACACAGATACACTCACATAGAGATACACACACAAATCCACTCACACAGATACACCCACATAGAGATATTCAATCACAGATACACTCAGACACAGACTTTAGACACTGTAGATGGTATTAGTGTCTTCACTGTGCCTCTCCTTCTATAATCAACCCTGAATTCACCTGAGGACACCTCTTTGTACTATAGATAATAGTGTCATCACTGTGTCCCTTCTATAATCAGCCCTGAATTCACCTGAGGACACCTCTTTGTACTATAGATAATATTAGTGTCATCACTGTGTCCCTTCTATAATCAGCCCTGAATTCACCTGAGGACACCTCTTTGTACTATAGACAATATTAGTGTCATCACTGTGTCCCTTCTATAATCAGCCCTGAATTTACCTGAGCAAACCTCACTGTACTGTAGATAATATTAGTGTCTTCACTGTGCCCCTCCTTCTATAATCAACCCTGAATTTACCTGAGCAAACCTCTCTGTGCTGTAAATAGTATTAGTGCACTCATTGTGCCCCTCCTTCTATAATCAACCCTGAATCCACCAGCTCACACCTGTCCGCAGACACCAGCACAATCCTCTGACCTTTCGAGAGTGCAAAGCCATTTGAAAAACACTCCAATTATGATTTTTTTTCCAGACTTAACGAGGCCGTGCTGTCAGAGACACGTGTGTGTGTGTGTGTGTGTGTGTGTGTGTCTGAGCGAGGTTTGCAGGAGACAGGCCTGCCCTGGCAGGGCGAGCTGTTGAGCTGTGCCAAGCTCATGGTGGGGTCGACAGAGACGCTCTCCCCGAACATAACCGTCGGCGAGTGTCGGCACTTGACGCGGGGGGTGAGGGGTCGGGCGCCGAGATTGACGGGGAATTATGGCTAACTGCCGCCAATTAAGGCTCTGCCTGTCAACACGGCGCTCTGGAGAGAGACTCTGACAATGCCTGGCCCTCCAGAGCTGTTCTGCTGCTTGTCTGAGTGTCTGGGTGTGTGTCAGTATGTGTGAGCTCCGTGGTAAATCGCCCTGTAGCCTGGTCTTGTCAGATCTCAGACTCAGCAGGGCTGGGCCTGGTCCATGCTTGGTCTGGTCTTGGTCTAGAGCTGCTGCTGCAAGTGTTTTTGGTCGACCAGTAGGGGGCACTCTTCCCTCTGGACCACTATGTATGGCAGCTGGGGACACTCCACTGTTAGAGCTTCTCCGGATGAGACGCTGAACTGTGGTTGTAACAGCTTGGTTGTTAAAAAGGCCCCTGGCACTCTTCACAAGGGCAGGGATGTGAACCCCAGAGTCCTATCAGAATTACAGTCTACCTCCCTGAAGTTCTCCTTTAATCCACCTGGTGCTGCAGATCTCATTGTGAATAAATCCTGGGGGAGAACTGCGAGAATGAAACATTTCAGCCGTGCTCTGTCTTTCATTTTGATTGGGAATATGGGGTAGAAGGGTCAGAGGAGCTCGTGTGATCTCCTCCTCCCTCCCGGCCCTGCTCTGACACGTCTGTCTGTTTGTCCCCCGGGAGAAATGACTGACCCTCCCTGCACCCTGTCACGCCGATGAGATGTCAGTCTGGGTTTTCAATTCAATTCAAGGTGCTTTATTAGCATGACTGATGGGTACAATCAGTGTTGCCAAAGCAAATGAAAGTAATGATATTTACATTAAACAAAACAAAAAATAAAAGTAAAATTAAATCTACAGACATGTTACAGACATATCATAAAATATTGACATGTACTGTAGACAGATGGAGCATTATTGGGAGACACCCTCAATGGCTCTGCAGCAGCCACTGTTGATGCCATAACCGGACCCCGGACTCTCTGCCAAGAGCTTTGGGTCAGTGTCAGCTGTCCATCCATCCACTGGCTGATGGCTCTATCCAATTCAGGGGAGCCTATTCCAGCAAGGCAGGGCACACTTGCACAGGGCCGGTTTTCTCAGAAGCCAATGAACCCACCAGCATGTCTTGTGAACTGTGGGAAGAAACCGCAGCACCCAGAGGAAACCCATGCAAACACATGGGGGAACATGCAGACTCCACACAGACAGCACCTCGGGGCTGGAATTGAACCCAGGACTCCCAGCACTGCGAGGCAGCAATGCTGACCCCTGCGCCACTGCGCTTCTCTATACAGATATACAGTATATATAGAGAGAATTATTATAAATATATGATGGTCCAGCGAGGGCTGCAGGCTCGCCTGTTGCCCAATTAGTCTCCCTGCCTGTCGGCTGTAAGCGAGGCCCATTGATTATTTTAATCCCCCTATTTGTGGGCCTGTGATCCTGCGTGCTTGCCCTCCGCCGGGGGGACTCGCTAATGGGCTCACCGCTCCCCCTCGCCAGCCGCACTGGCGCGCGGCCCAAACCAATTAACTTTCAACTGCACTGCACAGCGCCGGGGAGAGAGGCAGAGGCAGACAGAGCCGCGCAGATCCCGCTCGGTCCCGAAGGAGAGGGGCTCACAAAGCCTTTCCCCGAGATGTGTCATTAGCATCCCTTTTAATTGCCCCCTTTTTTCCCCGTGCAAGGTGAGGAACAAGAAAGCCCGGCCTCCTCCTCTCGGCGCAGGAGGGGCTATTATTCGGCTCCCGTGTAAAGAACAGTCGCACAGATGTGCAGAACAGCAGCGGCAGCACTAGTCTGCGCTAACGAACGGCGGTGTTAATTACTGCAGGGCGCCTCCGAGGGGATCACTTCGGGCCAGAGACTGTGCACTTTTACCCCCTGGCAGAAGTGAAAGAAAGTTCTGGACTGTAAGCTGCCTTTGGCAAAAGACATATTACTCTCTTTAAAAAAAAATCTGATCAAAAATGAACTGAAAATGTACTTTTTCCCCCCAAAAAAATAGAAGGGCAATTAAATAGGTGATGCTTAAAACCTGCAGTAGCTCTATATGTATGTGGCCACAGGTAATGGTGTGCAGATAGGGCCATATTCATTATTAATATCCCTCCACAGTTTTTTATTGGAAATCCTAATATTAAAGAATCAAAAAGAGCCATATAAACTGCCCGTAGGGACTCGGAAATTTGCATCCTGAAAGATCTGTGTGACATTTTACAACTCAAATTGTGTTGTTTCTGCATTAGGATGTAACAAGCATTATGTTAGCACGGTGGTAAATGCTTTATAAATACAGCCCCAAGTGACTTGTTAGGTCAGTCGTTTGTGTGTGATAATAAACCAGAGGAACAGATAGCTAGAGATTTTGATTAGAGCTGAGTCACTGGGAGAGAGAGAGAGGCAGTGTGGGCTAGTGGTCAGAGCTGAGGCACTGTGAAAGAGAGAAGGAGGCAGTGTGGGCTAGTGGTTAGAGCTGAGTCACTGGGAGAGAGAGAGAGGCAGTGTGGGTTAGTGGTTAGAGCTGAGGCACTGGGAGAGAGAGAGAGGCAGTGTGGGTTAGTGGTTAGAGCTGAGGCACTGGGAGAGAGAGGCAGTGTGGGCTAGTGGTTAGAGCTGAGGCACTGGGAGAGAGAGAGAGGGAGGCAGTGTGGGCTAGTGGTTAGAGCTGAGGCACTGGGAGAGAGAGAGAGGCAGTGTGAGCTAGTGGTCAGAGTTGAGGCACTGGGAGAGAGAGAGAGGCAGTGTGGGCTAGTGGTCAGAGTTGAGGCACTGGGAGAGAGAG